AACGTTGTAGCCTGAGAGACAAGGGAACCAGGGTGTGGTGTATTGCAAGTTGGGAAAGGAGTATTGCAAATACAGATGCTTTCTATTTTAAATTACCTTGGTGTAGACAGAACTAATTATTTGCTTTAAGTGTGAGGTGGTTTGGAACTCTGAAATAATGTTACCTGTCTGCAGAAGTGCCTTAGCTCGTAATTGTTTAGTGAGACCTTCAATGGACTTGGTATGTGTGTTTTAGACTCCACAGTTTTTAAGGACTTGAACTGTCCTTGGGGTTTAGGAGGGAGACAGCCTTCCTTGTTCTAAATGATACTAGCCCTGTTTCTCCTTCTCATGCAGGCTGTTCAAACAAGCAAGCGGAAGGCAGTAGGCACTCTCCCACAAAATTGGTTTCAACTGAATTTTCTGTTGTGTTTGTGACCTTGAGCCAGCCTCTTTCTTACTCTGTCCCAGTGACCAAAGAAGATGTGGAATTATGTTACCTGCTGAGGTTTTCAAATGCCACTTTAGGATTCTTTCTGCTTTTATTCTTTGAGGTACCATGATCCAATTCTGATTTGACTATTTCAATTGTATTAGGGTTTTCCAGAGAAACAGAACTAATAGGAGATACAGACCTGTAGCTACCTATCAATATATATCTGAAGAGATGTATTATAAGGAAGTGGCTCACATGATTATGCAAGCTGAGAAGTTCTATGATCTGCTGTTTGCAAGCTCCAGATCCAGGAATGCTGGTGGTGTGATCTGGTCTGACTCCAAAGGGCTGAGGTCCAGGAGCTCCAATGTCCTAGGGCAGGATAAGAGGGATGTCCCAGCTCAGCAGAGAGCAAATTTTCCCTTCCTCTGCCTTTTTGTTCTATTCAGGTGCTCAGAGGGCTGGATGACGCCCACCAGCATTGAGGGGGGCCATCTGCTTTACTCGGTTCACCAATTCTCTTCTAGAAGCACCTTCAGACACACCCAGAAATAGTATTTTACCAGCTGCTTCTGGGCCTCCCTTAGCTGAGTCAAACTGACACATAAAATTAATCATCATACCAAGCAACTGTCTCACATTACAGTAAAGGTGAGATAATCATCAGTAATTATATATTTGCATCTGTTTTTCTCCTGGTTCCAGGAAACCTTTTGATACTACTCCAAGACTTGACTTGGACAGGAATGGGAAAAAGGAAGGTGAATCAATAGAATGAATGAAGAACACAGCCTTTGGGGCCCAACTTCTGGGGTTTAAATACCAATTCTGCCACTGGGGATCTAAGTGGGCAAGTCTTTAAAATTCTTTTTGCTGCCATTTGTCTCATGTCAAAAAGTGGGATAAAAATAGCACCCGCATTGTGGGTTGGTTAAGAAGCATAAATTATTTAAATGTAAATGTTTGTGTTTCATAAACAACAGCTATCTCCATAGTAATTGTTATTCCTGCCTATTTTTAACTAAGCTTTTAGGAGATAGGCTTCTTTCCTTTTTTATTTGCGACCCTCAACAAATGTGAGAGGCATTGATTTTTGTGAAAAACACTGTTCTGGACCCAGGTTCCTGCTCTTATAATATTTACCATCAAGTTGAAAGGTAAGCCCAACATATTAGTAAAATCTAAATGAATAGTCTGAAGGAAGGTGGCACAAAGGTCACAGGTTACCTCTTTGGGTCCCCCTTGGTGATGACTGTTTGGCTGACACTCTTTCAGAAAGCCAGAACAGTCGTGTTGGTGTGAAGAGCTGGGGAAAACCAACATATCTGGTATTAAAGGCTGAAAACCACACAAGATAGGAAAAGATAATTATAACATGCACATATATGTTATATCTAATTATAATGCACACATCATAATAGGCAATACATATTATATATATCTGATAAAGGATTATTATGGGTGCTTTATAAATCAATAAGAGGAAAAACTCAAATCAAAAAAATGGTCAAAATTTCAAATGGGTAATTCACACAGATGAAAGTTAAGAGTGTAATCAATATGAAGGGGTATTCAGCCTTGCCAGGAATTAGGGATAAACAGATTAATGCCACAGTGAGGTATTTTACCCCATCAACTGAGCAAAAAATAAAGACTGATAACATCAAGTGTGGATAAAGTGAAGGTTCCTGTGGCCAGGATTCTCACCTGGCCCTGGTCGGCTTGCTCACTACACACGTGTGGGCAATACGTTGTTATTGACTCTATATAAAGAGCTCCGCCCAGTGCTCTGGGTGACATGGTGGCACAGCTGCACCACTGCAGGAGAGCAGAGACTGGTGTGGTGGCAGTGCCGAGGACAGAGACTGAGATGGCAATGAGGGCAGAGAAGCCCAGAGGCAGAGACTGGCTTGCTGCATGCAGACTCGCTCTGAGTGGATGGAATTCTAGTGACTGACCTGCCACCGTGGGGATAAAGTTGGGCATAAACCTTTTTACCCCAAGCACATTCCACGGTCATTTTCCAGTCTCATTGAATCCATAGTGAGCTTGCCCAGGGCTGAAACCCACTGGCAAGACACCAAGTGTTGACAAGGATCTGGAGAAATGGGAATTATCAGTCACCATGGGCAGGATTGTGTCCGTATAGTAACCTTAGAAAAAAATTTGTCACTAGGTAGGCAAAGTAAAAGCTCCTCCATGCTCTTGAACCCAGTAATTCCACTTCTTGGCAGGGGTGATGATAGTCAATATATTTAATATCCTTTAGGGCAAGCCACCCTCCAATTAGAATTCATACCTCCAATCAGAATGGGGACTTCCTGTACCCCATAGGTGCATCTGAATTGCTGAAAATATGCTGAATATTAGCCCTGCTTCTGGAATATTCCCTAGAAACTTCATACATCAGCTATGCAGAGGGAGAAAAAAGGTAGTAACTTAAAGCAGTCTAGTTGTCCAGAAACAAGAGTGAATAAATACATTTTGGTCTAATAAAATAATATGCAGCAGTGAAAAGGGATGAACTAGAACCATATATATCAAGTGGATGAATCTTAGAAACTTAAAACTGAGGCAAACAGCAGAGGATATGTGTGGTAAGATGCTCTCTAAAGTTGGGAAGTAAAACAATACTATGTTTACATGTAATAATAGTGGAAAGCATGCCTGGGAATGACCAGGAACATTCAGAATATTGATCATTTCTGGAGAAGGAGAAAAGAGAGGAGAAAGGTGAGAGACCTTCAGCCCAACCACTTGCTTCTTTAAAAAGTTGGGGAGCAAGCATGGAAGATGGTTAGGATTTGATCCACCTGGTGGTGGTTCAGTGCTTCATTCTTTCTATTTCTGAATGATGGGAATATTTTTATAATGAAAATTAAAAGTCAGTGTAACAGTATGAGCTGAGGGTCAGTTTTCCCTGGTCTGTGGGCATTTGACTGTTGCAATGCTGAGTTCATTCTTGTTTTTAGCCCCTCACCCAGAGCTGTTGAGGAAACAGGCTCCACCTTCCACTGGCTCCACCTGCCCCTCCGGTCACAGCCCCTTTCCTTCTGCTGGGCTCACCAGGAGGACGAGGCTGGGATGCCAGTTCACAGCTCTTGAATTCCTAAGCACGTCTCTCTCTCTCCCCCGTGCTGCTCAGAGACACCAGTTATCAGATGGCCCTGTGTTTGAACTTGGGACATCGTGATAGATGGCTCCACAGCGTTGGTTATCACAACATTCTTCATTAGCCAGAAGCGCTAGCCTCTCCTCTTCGGCCAGGCTTGCAAACCTGTCCTGAAAGCAATGGCGTTTGTCCTTGGCATCTCACCTAGGAGCCTCTGCAGTGCCCATGGACTGACCGCCAACTGGTGGACTTGACCTAGGTAGGATTTATGGCTTCACTCAAAGGTGTGAAGCTTCCGTTAAAATGGTAGTTACATCTGACGAAGCACATTGATAGCTCTAAGATGTTGCTTGAAAATACTGATTTCTTCCAGAGATAATCCTTTCCATCTTGCTTTCCAGTGTGTGGTTGACTCTGTCTGCCCTTTCCTTTGAATTGCGTTAGACATAGCAGGGCTCCCAACCAGACAGAAGGACCAACCGGAGCTCATTTCGTGACCTCTTATGATTCAGGGAGTCTCATGTTTGGGTGATTTGAAATGGATACAAGTCAGTTGCAGAGTCTCTGACTGCAGGTGGCCAATCTGAGGGACTGACGTGTATCTGGGAGCTCTCCCGACCTCTCAGCCGTGTGTGTGTTCGTGTGTGTTTGAGTGACGTGGTCCAGCAGACCAAACAGGAGCTACACTGAGACCTATTTTTGAGCTTGGTTGTGTGACCTTGGGTGGTTTATTTCACCTCCCAGAGCTTCGGTTTCCTGAGTCACAAAGTGAAGGAGGCGATGCCTTCCATTACGGACTTCGGTCAGATTAATTAGAGAGTGGATGTGCGGCAGCTCCTGCAGTACGGGGCACCTGGCTTGCTCTCTCCTTTTCCCCAGTCCTCCCCGGTGGGCAGAGCCACTCTGGATTCCCAGAGCCCAGCGGTATTCATTGCCTTCCTCCCTCACACCCATGTCTGCTGGGAAGGTTTTGATCTGGGAGTGGTGGGCAGAGGTAATAGGGGAGCGAAGCGCCGTGCTGCGGGAGGGTCTTTCACGGCCACGGCGGGTTACTCATTGACGTTACCATTTCCAGTGTTTTATAAAGTTCATCTTGAATTATGCAGTCAAGGCTCTCTTGCTCCAGTCCCTGGCATGATGGGAGCCGGGGTGGGGAGCATTCGGGAGGGCTGTCCCAGCTCTGGAATCATGCCACGTGTCCCTCCCTCTTCATCTACACCTGTTGGCAACCGCGCCAGAAAGGAAGTCTACCCAGACCACTTTTTAGCGGCTTGGGAGACAGCTGAGCGTATGCCAAGCTTCACTGTTATCCGACTGAGGCAAAGGAAACGATTCCCAGCCTCACCCGTGTGTCGCCACGGAGCGGGGCCTGTCTTTGGAGCCACTAGCTTGTTGGTCTAGGACCGGTCACTTGACTTTCTTGAGCCTCACTTTCCTCATCTGTCACAGGCAAGGGATTGCTCTGTGCTGGCCTGCTATTGGGAAGAGTACATGAAGAAGGAGAAGAGAAAGCATTCTAGAAAGTGCTGTGCAAATCTCAAACATCATTCATAATTTGCCTACTGCCTGGACAGATGCTGCCTCCCGGTAAGAGGAATGTGAACTGACCATTGTTCCGAGCAGGACATGGGGCAATGTCCTTCCCTAGTTAACCTGACGTTCGGTACATGCTGTTCTTCTTTTTCATGTCAACAAAGCTATTACTTTTTATTTTTCCAGTTTTACTGGAAGTAATTGACACACGTCACTGTAAAAGCTTAAGGCATGCAGTGTGAATGCCTACACATTGTGAAATGATCACCACTCTAGGTTCATTTCAACTGACATCCATCTTCTCTTATACATACAATACAAAGGAAAGAAAGAAAATACGAATAAAGCAAAAACAATTTCTCCTCATGATGAGAACGCTTAGGATTCACTCCTTTACTTTCCCATCTGTCATACGGCAGAGTCAGCTGCAGTCACCGTGGGGTACGCGACATCCCTACCACCTAACTTACTTCACGACTGCAAGTTTGTGCCTTTGACCGCCTTCCTCTGATTCCCCGCTCGCCTGAGACCCTCCTCAGGTGACCACAAGTCTGATCTCCTTTTCTATGAGTTTTGTTTGTTTTTCTTTTAAATTCCACATGTAAGTGGGGTAACAAGCAGTGGTTTGTTTGTTCTGTCTTTCTCTGAGTTATTTTACTTAGTATCATACCCTTAGGATACACACACATTGTTGCAAATGGTAGGATTTCCTTGTTTTTTTTATGGCTGAATAATATCATACACACACACACATATATGTAACACACACATAGTTGTATATGTAATTTTAAAACCACAAATGACAGGAATCATTACTCATATGAACATTGGCTTTTAAGCTATTCTCACAGAAAAGCCCAGTTATCATTTATGTTCTGGGGACCTGTGGTATTTTGAATCCAGAATTTGTCAGTTGTCAGGGAAAGAAAGTGAATTAAGTGAAATTAATGAAAAAAAGGATAATGTTTACCTCATTTAACTGAAAAGCTCAGGAGTGAATAAGCTAGATTCTGGAGCCCCAAGGATGTTTCAGCTCTGCTCTTTTTGGCACTGGTTTGTCTCAGCCTGATGTTCCTCTGTGGCTTCGAACAGCTTCCAGCAGCCTCATCTAGTCACTCATTGCATCAAGAGACAGACAATTGCTTTAGGTACTGCCTTAGACCGCTCCCTATCACCCTGTCTCACCAACAGACTGACTGACTGTAGGGAACCATCTGTGATAACCTCATCAGGGCCTCCAGGGAAACCTAGCTCCCTATAATAATGCAAAGCTCATAAACCTGCTCGTCCTATAAGCATTTGCATGTAGAATTGCATGTTTCATTTACAATAACTTTTATTTTCCCCCATCCCAGGCGGCCCACCATTTTCTGGGAGTTGCCAGCATCAGTGGATGACGGATGTTCACATGGGGATGGAATGCTGCATTGCTGAGGAGCAGGTAGCCTGCATTCTATTTTAAGTCACTTGCCCGCACTGGGCTCAAGGGTGCTCTGATTGTGGCTGTAATCGCTGTGGCTGCTTCCATAGTCCCCAGGGGTCTGTAGTAACTAGCAAGAGCACATGGTAAGTGTTAGGAGCTCCTTGAAAATCGAAGTGCCATGTGTATTACTCTGTGACCAGAAAGGAGAGGTGGAAAATAAGGCAGGGCTGATCTTGACCCCTCAGGCACCCTCCATCTTTGGGACTTGGCCCCCGTAGTCACAGTGAATTGAAAGTGTCATGCTTGTCTGGAGCATTTGGGTGGGTGAGGTCCCATGCTAAGAACTGTTGCATGGTTGTGTGTGTGCACAATCAGCTCAGCAAGGTGAGTGGAGGAGGAGGTTTCCCTCAGGTGCACTGGTCTTTCTGGGATGTTCTTCCAGAAGAATCTCCAGATCATCATTCACCCTTCCTGCCATCTTGTCCACTTTAAAGTCATCAAAACTGCCAGTGCCTCTGTTTCTTCCATGTGAGCTCCACAAGTCTGATCGTCTATGTCTATTGGCCTCTGCCTTCCTTCTTTATAGCTGATGGGATGATCTTCTTAAAACATGCACACAGATTGTTCCTCAGCAAACAACCCTTCCCTGCTGGCCTCAATGCCACCAATTAATGGCCCAACTCAACAGCCTGGCTCTGAAGATCTTCCTGGGCCTGGGAGTGGCCTACCTCTTAAAAAATATCTTTCTTTCCTCCTTAATGAAGTCTTCCACATGTTTAGGCTCTTTCTGCTATTTTGAATTAACTTCTCTAAACTGGGTGTCAGCTTCTTGCTTGTATGAAGGATTAAGAACACTAACCTCCCCCAGGCATAGTAGTAGATGAAACGGAGCTATTTCATGGAGAGGGTCTGAAGCATGTATGCGATCATGAGTGGCAGTGGCTATCACTGTGATCTCTCCATCACGGCGTAGCCTGAGAGCCATTTCTTTTCTGATGCTGTCCCTGTCCTCAGCCAAGGGGGGTTTTTCCTTCTACTGAAATCCCATTCGCTTTGTATCAAGTCCAATTTTATGTGCCTTTCTGATTTGCTAAGCTTCAGATTCCCAGAAAACCATTTTTTTTTCTTTTTAATACGTCTTGAACCACAGCCTCTTCTGTGGCGAGGGCTCTCTGGATGCCTGCCCGCTGGCCCAGTGGCCCCTGGTTCACCTCCTCCATGTCAAGGAACGGGGCCATGCAATGTAGTGCGGCTATTGTGACCACAATTGTGCTCATGGAAGCAAGAGCCACAGCATGTCTTGTGCTCAAGGAATGCAGTGTGTTGGCCCTGTAGCCAAGAAGGGACAAGATGGTAGCATGGCCCAGTTTCCCTGGGGATGAGTTGTCTTAAATAGTTTGTTGAGGTCCTGAATGCAGTCACCAAAGAGTTAGGCCAGGAAGGTTTGAGGCCCCAAGCCCCCACCAGGAGGGGGGTCATTTGGGTTTGGAGTTGGAACTGGCCGAGGCTCACAGCACTCTGCTCCTTCTGCCACCTCAGAACTGAGATAAAGGGCCACCCTCAGGTTGTGAGATCTGGATCCCCTGGGGCTTCCCAGAGGGCCAGGCAACACAACTTGGGTGAATCTGGACCAGTGAGGGCAGGAGACAGGAACAAGCCTGTAGATACATACTTACTCTTTTCCTCCCCTGTATGGTTCTCAGATTCCAGTTTCCATGCAGCATTTGGATATGATCCAGGTAAGCAGGCAGAATGTACTTTATGCTGAAGTTCTGGCCAGCTGGCTTGTCGTGCACCTTCTCTTTGCTGTATTTCCTGCTCTGCTATCCTTTGTCCCTCACTCTGGCTTCCGATACATGGCACTATCCAAGGAAATGGGATGAAAGCTTTGCTTACGTTTCCAAGGGAATCCTGCCAAGAAAATTGTGATCTGCTATATTTCTTCTTGCCTCTCCTGGTCTCTCCTCTCTCCTCTGTTTAGTTACAAGCACGATCATAGAGAGTAGTTTTTCTTGAGAGGATTCCCCACATTTCTTCATCTTGGGAGCTAATACCCTATGGAATCACATGGCAGTCAGCGTTCTGAGTGGCCTTCAGGACACTGAGCTTCAGAAAATAAATGTGGGGGCCTCCAATTTTAAGTAATTCCTTATATGAAAACTCATGTTTACCCAAAAGATAATTGGGAGAGTGATTATTTTCTTTGCAAAAGGGTTTCACATAAGCTTTTATCCCATATAAATAATGAATCAATTAATACATTTTAAATTGGCAGTGCATTGTGCAGCTGAAATCCTAGTGCAAGAGGCTGTGAGGAGGCTGGCCCACCACTGAGGACTGTTGCCTGGAAGAGCATGTTGTGTTTGTCAGCTGGGATGCTTCTCTTATTTTTCATCAAGAAGTGATTTCTAATTTAAACTATCAAATATTTCACATTTACCATGTAGAAGGCACAGTAAGTGAGCACTAGGGAGTTAACGATTCTTTTCAAGGGATTTCCAATCTATCTGTAAAATTGGAAAGAGTCCAAAATATACAATGTGGTGTATGGTTTTTGATAGAATGAGATTTGAATTGCAAGCAGAATTTAGGACTCCCTGGTCCTCCCTCTAGTGTGCCAAACTCTGTACTGGATTGATACCATGTGTGCCATGCAGAGAGGAACCCCTTATCAGCCGTGGACCCAGTTTCTCTGCAGCGCCCAACCTGCTTGCTAGTGTGAACCATACCTGGCTTCACGAGCTCCCTGTGACTTAGACTAGAAGCAGGTCAGTGTTGTACCAAATGCTAATCTTGACCTAATATATATTTTTTTGTTTTTGTTTTTGTTGTTTGTTTTTTTATTTTGGTATCATTAATCTATAATTACATGAGGAACGTTATATTTACTAGACTCCCCCATCACCAAGTCCCCCTGACAAATCCCATTACAGTCACTGTCCATCAGCATAGTAAGATGTTGACCTAATATTTTTATTTATGGCCTCCACTCCCCAGAAGAGAAGAAATCCTTTTACAAGCAGACCATTCACCCCAAGATAAACACCCCCCTCCTGTGCACTGTCAGCTCTGTTGCCAGATCACGATTCAGTCCTTTAATACATCCTTGCACCCTGCCAGTGTCTAAGTGGGAGGAGAGGAACTGGCCTTTCCATAGAGGTCAGAGTGCACAGCCAGCTGTGTTCTGGGGATGAATGGACCCCAGGAAAGGAATGCATTAGGAGGTAAGTGGGTCACAGAACCTTTTGTGGAGGACAATCTGTGCCTCAAAGGACAGGGATGATTTCATTGAGCAGAGAGGAGGGAGTGTGCTCCAGGCAGGGGCCTGCAGTGAACAAGACGGAAAAGTAGGACTCCGTAGTGTTTAGGGCACAGAGCTGAAACCATTTTGGCCTGACTGAAAATGCAATTCTGGTTATCTGATTTGAGTCTTTCCCAAAATATGACTGGTATTTATAGAAGAGTGCCGCAGCTGAAATTCTTAGATGGAGTAAATGTGATTACACTAAGTGACTGGGGAAGTTTAGGTCATGGATATGCTTGTAATCCTTTTTAATTGGAAGCCCCTGAGGAAACAGCTGTCTCCAACCCTTTACTCACCTGTATATTGGGACAGATATTAATTGATAATTTCTCTTGTCCTTGGTTAAAAAGCCTATTTCAGAGAGAAGCATAATGAAACGTCTGCAAGATGGCAGGAGTGCAAGACAAAAGCCAGCAGCATGAGGTAATGCAGGCGGCCCTCAGTCCCAGGAATTCACTATCTGAGGAGTCGCAGGAAAACTTGCTTCTAGTAGTGAAAGGGTAGGTGTTAAAAAGACATTTTAGTAGATTTTTCTTTAAAAAATTTGAAATTAAATCCCAACCAAGCTGAGCGTGGAAGTGACCAAGTCTAAATTGTCATGGTCTTAGGCACAACACTCAATAACTGGTTAATTAAGAATCTATACAGAGAGATTCCCTAGGTGTGCAATTCCATATGTTAGGGAGATTTTCTGGGGCAATCTGTTCAGGCAATGGAACAGTAATTGTGACTGTGTTCTGGAATAGATTGTTCTAGGACAATCTACTATAGATATTTTATTTGTGCTTTATTTTACTTAAGGTGTGTGTGACCCCACTATCAAGGTCTCACTCTTGTGTGTCTGCAACATTTTCTAGCTGTCTTGGGTTTCTTGCTGAATTAAAACCTCTTTTGGTAGATGACACAGTCTGAGCTGTTATCAGCCATGCCATTTTAGATGGGATTTGCTGATAATGGCACATCGATGAGGGAAGGGTTCATCCTGCAATCATGTGTGAAAGGAGTGACTGGCATCTAAGAGAGAAGGACCCCTGGGCACAATGTGACAATTCTGCAAGGGCAGTGACGTCAGAGTGTATGACTGTCATATGATCTGTCAAGGCGTGGATGGTTTGTCATTTCAGGTACTTGGTTGATGGCATCAGAAATGACTCTGACTAATAAAGGGGAGAAGAAATCAAGAAACATATTGGAAGGATGGTAATAGCCCACGGAATTGAAGCAAAAGATGAGTACTTGAAATAAGAAGGACTAGAACCTGGGCAGAGCTGGAGAAATAATGGGCATTGTCGTGGGGCATCTTTGGGAATAATTTATTCCAATTGTTTTCTCTCTTTGAATCCCTCTGCACAAAATCTGAATCTTGGGTGGGGGTGAGGAGCATCTGGATTGCTTTACCTCCCCTTGATCAGGGCAGGGGATGGCGTTTTGAAGGACAGACAGCTCTGTCAAAGCCATCAGCCAGGAGGGGGGTGGGTTCTACACAGGAAACGCAAGTAGTTGTTTTCAAAACCAAGGAGGTGAGTTTTGAGTGAACAACAGCAATAGATGTCACCTCCAGACAGCTTGAAGTGCTCTGGTGGTTTCAGAATGGGGAACAGTTTTTTTCTGTTCACTTTTACCATAAATTTCAGGGTTTCCATAAAAATTGGTCAAGGCTTAAGCATAAGGGTGTTTGGGAACTGGGTAATAAACACTAGAGGAGAGAGACAATGGGTAGAGGTTGCAATGTCTCTGAAGTCTCCCTTTGAGATTCATGACTTAATTTTCATTCTGAGGCATAAAAAGGTGAGTGATATCTCATACAACTAGTTCTGAGTTTCTAAAAGAAACGTACATAATGTTGTACACAGTAGGAATGTAATATGGTAGAAATTGCCTACACTTTTGAATTGGAAGGGCCCCTATAGTTGAGGCTTTTTTTTCTTCCAATTCTTTCCTGTATAATATGGAAATAATATTGATCTCATAGAGTTGCTATAAGGTATGTGAAGCTTATGGTGCATATTAAGCCCTTAGTAAATACTAGCTTCCTTCTCTCCTACTGTGTGTTTGTGTACACATTTCTCTTTTATATGAATCATATGTACGAATGTAATTTTTCTTTCTCTGTAATGAGTTGAAAACCAATTTTCTTCCCTTCAATTTTATTTTTCTAATTTGGAGCTAATATTAGTAACTAGAACAAATAGCACACAAATCTGTCTCTTCTAAGGCCCATATTACAAAGACACAATCCTCTTTTCCTTAATTGTAGATGAGGCAATTTATTTACCTGCTTGTCTTAAACATCTCATACAGCAGTAGTCCACTATAGTTTAAAGGCAAAAGGAAATCCTCCGGGGATCTGAATCACAGTGAGAAATAAATTCATCTCGTTATGAGTGCTTGGTTGAGGAAAGTTAAGGAAATGTCCCAGAACACCTTAATTGCAATGAATGATAGTAGTATGTCATTCATTGCAATTTAAGTATTCTCACATATTTCTTTTACTTTGCTCAACCTATTCCTCATATTGAAATGACTCGATGGAGTGAGTCTTCCTAATTTTTAATGAGGCTGCAAGTAGGAATTGGAAATAAACAAGAGGCTGTTTTAGGGAGGCATTGAGAGGGAGGAGAAGATGGAAATATTCTTGGAACAGGTAAGAGGGAAAAGTCATCCTGGAGAATATAGTAAACAAAATTCCCCTGCCGGCCCCAGCCCAAGGGGGAGAGTGACTCAGGGTACCCAGACCCAGACACCCATAACAGGGCTTCATCGTTAAACAGAATAGAACTGGAATTCCAGTTTTGCCTCTGATTTTCATTGTTCTCATCATTGTCCTTGTTACAGTCCTTGTTTACCTTTTGGAGTTTGGGAGCATTATGAAGCGGAAATCGCCTGGCCTGCAGTAAGCAATGCACACCAGCTCTCTTCCCCTCTGGTATTATCCTGAGACTATCACAATCTTTTCGTACCTTGTAGCCACATCAGAAGCTTAAGACCCCCGGCTTCAGACACTGTTCAGGCGAGACCCTGTGAATTCGTAGGAGCCTGGCTCCAGGCCTAGGTCCTACGTGTGGTACTTCTGGTCTGAGCACAGGCGTTACAGAGCTTTTCCTGGCAGGTCTCTCGGGGGAGCGGCCCTCCCCGCACCTGGCTTGGGGCCCAGCCCCTGCGCTGGGGTCTCTGGAGAGCAGAGCAGCCACGGCTCAGGCCTCCCCCCTCTACCCCCCAAGCTCACCCGCGTATCTGCATTCGGAAGCCTCCTAATCAGGGGTCACGACTGGGACAGTTTTTAGGCCCCCTACCAAGAAGTTCCTCACTGGGGGCCCTTGACTGAAAGACTTCTCTACTCTCACTTACTACTTTTTAATTCCTATTCCTTCTCTTCTCCCTCCCCTGAGGGAGACGCTGAGCAGCGGGAAGCCAGCACCTTCCCTTCTCCATGCCTCGTGCCTTTACTGTCGCAGGGAGTGGGCAAAGGCGTGGTTATCACTTTGAGTTCGGCTCGGTGTCTTGACTGACCATCTCAACGCCTGGCAATTCGACACAAACCAAGGGACTCCTGAAATCTCTTTTCCTTCAGAAGTTCACATTTCTTCAGAAGTAACCATTAAGGGGTTATCTGCATGGAATAACCTGAGCATCTTTAGGCAGAGGTCTCCTAGGGACCTGGTTAATTCCAGGGAGCTCCCAGTCACCCTTGTCCTCAGTACTTCACGTGGACCCCTCACCTGGTCAGTAGTCTGATTTTAGTTCTATTAAGCAATTGGGAAACGGGTGAACACACTCCAATTAAATTCTGGCTTTCTCTGCCAAACAGTCCTGCCACCATGGTCACCTGAGGCCTGGAGTGTTACTCAGACTATTGAACTCCTGTTGCAGCAGAAACCCCATCATCAGATGGGCGACAGCCATGACCATGTGCCCAGCTGGGGGTAGGTGCCGTTCCCGAGGGAATCTCCCTCACACATGCACACACACACTCGGACATACGTATTTATTGCACTTAACAATTTTAACTGATCTGTTTTGAGTGTTGTAATTATCTTAGAACAGAAGCCTTAGGACCAAGTTGGTCAGGAAGAGGAATTAATCTTTGTTGAGCAATGACCTTCAAGTTCTATGACAAGTACTTTTATAAACTCATCTCATGTAATCCTTCCATGGATTCACAGAGAGGTTAGGCAAGGTGAGAGGTAGTAGAGCTGGGATGTGATCACACAGCCCGTGCACTTTCTGCCCTCCACACTGTTTCCCTGGATGGTGAGGTCAGGCCAGTCCAACTTGCTGTAGCCTATTAGAGTTATCCACGAAGTGATAAAACTATTATTTGAATGTTTGTATCAGTTTTCTTGGGCTGCTGTAACAAAACACCACAACTTAGAGGCTTAAAAAGGCAGACATTTGTTTTCTCACAGTCCTGGAGGCTGGGAGTCCGAGATCAAGGTGTTGGCAGGTCTGGTTTCTCCTGGGGCCTGGCCCCTTGGCTTCTGGTGGCCGCTCTTGCTGCGGCCTCACATAGTCTTTCTTCTGTGTGTGCATCCCTGATGTCTCTGTGTATCCAAATTTGTTCTTATAAGGACCCTAGTCAGTTTAACAACTTACTGAATTTGATTACCTCCTTTAGATCCAAATAAGTCACATTCTGAGGTATGAGGAGTTGGGACTTCAACATAGGGATTTTGGGGGACACAGTAAAGCCTGTAGCCATGTTTGTACTGCCAGAGTTGGGCTGTAGGCTGTGTAGAACCCAGGGCCATCCTCAGGGCACAGTGGAGCTCAAAGAAAATCATAAATTCTTTCTGTCCTCTTCTATACAAGTTTTTCACACTGGAAATTTGTTTAAAATTGAGAGGAAGGATTAAAAGGTTCATTGTGAGAGGAGTGATGAAGGAGGAACTAATGCAACCACTTCCTCCTTCCCTCCGTCCCTTCACTGCCTTCCTGAGATGCTTACTTATTGATGGTTCATTTGTTTGTTTATTCAAACATCACTTCTCAGGTTCCCTACTCTGCGTGAGGCATTGTGCTAGGTGTTGAGGATACACCAGCTTTGCTCCCTGCTTGCATGGAGCTTACCTTCCTGTGAGAAAGGCAGAAGGTAGTGCACATAATAATTCACTCTAGGAAAAGCCCTGTAAATGGGCGGGTGCAGCATGTCTTGGAGGTTGGGCAGTTGGGTATGGCTTCTTAAGGTGGTAACATTTAGGCAACCTGAACAGTAAGAAGGAGCTGCTCATGAAAAGTTAATGGAAGAGCTTTCCAGACAGAGGAAACCTCTGTGCAAGGGCAAAGTCTTGCATCCACAAAAGAATGTTCCAGAAACCAAGAAGAGATCAGGATGGCTCGACCAGATTGGAGAGAAAAGCAGGAGAGAGTGCCCAGACTCTTGGCTGGGTAAGAGAAGCTTACTATTGGCTGTGGCAAGAGGCTCTCAAGTTAGGGATTATACCCCTTGTATGACACCCATTTGAGAGACGGGCTTCAGGCAGAGCTGGCACTTTCTAAGGCGTATTAGACCTTGCTTGTGCAGTAAGATGTGAAGAAAGTACTGAGGGGTATCCTCCCGCAGAAATCCAGCCTCCCCGCCCTTGCCATCTGCTTGTAGAACCTGCTGTTCTATCATTCGAGAATCCCTTCCCTTTAAAGTACCTTTGCTTTGCCCAGGAGGAGACTCCTGTTAAATGCAGGTAACCCTAGCAGCGGGTCTCATTAGACCTGTCAGCAGTCTGACGGCTGGAGGATGAGATACGCTCCGGGCTCTGTTCGCACTGTATCCAACTAGGGTAGGTGCCTCTCTAACGACATCATCTCTTCTTCTCCTCAAGTATTTCTTTTTTTTTTCTCTGTCTCCCTACTCCCACCTAGTCAACTTCCTTCAGACTGCAGACCCGTCCCCACTGTCCCAGTCTATCCCCAACCCCTTATGCCATGATTTAGCTCTGCAGACAGCGGGACTCATTGTGCACATGTCACGCCCTCGTTCCTGTCTCAGGAACTTCGGCCACACCCACCACGCAGACCTCGCATTCTGGGCAGCTGGGTCTTCTGTTTGCTCCATCCTGACTGTGGTTTCTAAGATGTAGTGAGAAAAGCTGGTAACCATGCTGACTGGCCATGAGATCCCCTCACTGCTGATATGTCTTCGCCAGGTGCACCACTTTCCTTTTTCCAAATTTTACTTAATTGTTTAACACATTTCTCTTCCATCGGCTTCTTGGCTATGTGCAGAGAAATGACCCACGTTTTGGAATCACAGTCCTGGGTTCAAAACCCCACTCCTCCTCTTTATTCACAGCTGTGTGGTCTCGGCCATGTTATTGAGCTTCCCTGAGCCTCAGCTTCTTTAATCTGTAAAACAGGTTTGATAAAACCTGCTCAATGTTTCTGACTCCTGTTATCAAATGAGGTCAATTCTTAAGTGTTTAGTATTGAGACTAGACTGGGAATAGATGACAAGCAATGTAGACCAATCTCCTCTTCCCTTATCAGCCCTCCAAGAGTGGATGCCACATTAGCACGACCTCCAGGTCCCAAGGATCATTATGCGGCCTCTTCAGAGGAAGTCAGGCCGAGTCCTGGCTGTGAGTCCCCTTGTGATTGCCAGTGTCAGGGAAAAAGGCCACACGGGCTTCTTCCTTCATGTCGCAGACCCGTTGTCCAGTCACAACAGATCATGTAGCTGCCTCATAAATAAGGAGCACTGCTAAATTAGCCTCTTTTCATCCAAGGCCGAAGTTCATGTAGAATTTAATCAGGACTAAGTGGGAACAGGGATAAGCAACCTGCAAGATGGAGGTGTGACAACTTTAAATGTGTCAGTACAACTCCACCATCCGGAGAGGACAAACCCCCACAGGACTGTGGTGACCATCAAGAAAGGAAAAATTATCAATGGCAGTGGATGAGAAGATGATTCCCATGAGATCAAGTTGCCCATGACACACAGGTCAGAATTAATTTAAAGGGCATTTCTCTATTTCTTCTGATTAGGTATCAAAGATAAAGCACATTAAAACAATGTAGGCAGTCTTTCAGGGTGGTCTTTTAGAGCTACGCGGTCAACTCTAAGTTATTCTCTTTAATGCAGGGAGGGAGGAGGTGGAAGAGAAAATCATTTGCATTAAGCAAGGAAGTATTTGGTACTACGTGCCCTCACTAGCCTCTAAATTAGCCTCTATAAAGAGGCTGAAGGCAAAACCCTGTTGAGGTAGCAAATGGACGCCCTTGAGCTTAGTTAGCTATTGCCGTCAGGAGATTTTTGAAAATAGGAAACAGACAGGAGCTGTGGGGGATGGGGAGAAACGGCGAGAAGTTCTGAACCAGGGTTCTGGCTGGAGAGTGATCTTTGATTCCTTTTTGAGCTAAGGAAGGCTCTCAAATCCCTCAGACCTGTGGCAGAGAACATTTTAAGAAAGACACTTCCCAGGGAGCTTTGGATTTGAAGCCATATACTGAGTGATCTCTTTAGTATTCTAGCCTTTGAACCAGAGGAATTCAGATACTCAAGTATTTGTGATGAAAGAAGGATCTAGTGATAATGGTGATAATGACAATGTGAATACAGTCATTTCCATTTATTGAGCTCTTACTAGGTGCTGGGCACTGAGCTCTACACATTTCCTAGAATTATTCATTTATTCCTTACAAGACATTCTCAGAGCCTCAGGCCCTTAATCTCTGTATTCATAACTTCCCACTTAACCCCATTAAATCTCTGTTTTCTTATCTGAACAATGGGGGCAGTGATTTTTACCTCTAAAGTTGTTGTGAGGAGCATATGAGACAAAGACAGAAAGACCTTGGCACAGTCTCATGTTGAGCGTAACATAGTGAGTAAGTATTCAAGGGAAGTTGTGTTCATTTTGTGCCTATTACAGGAAAATGTGCAAGGCTTCTGCCAGCTGCCTCAGCTTGCGTTCAGGGGCATCCATCCCTCCACCCAGAAAGTTCTGCCACAGCCTGTGGGCTTCTCCAGCGGCTCCCAGCTGTTATAGTCTAGAGTGTCCCCCTCCAGCCCCAGTCCCTTAGCCTCCAGGGTGACAGAGATTCTTACCTAGAAGAATCTTGGAGCCTTTATGGACCCCCTGACATTTGCCACCCCACGCAAATAAGTGACAACCTAGTTTGTGCCAGAGGGAAGCCCCAGAAGGCTTCCTTCATAAGTGCTGGTGTTTTAAGATCTTTTCTGCCTTCCCTGCTTTCACTGCCTCAACTCTCTTGTTGATCAACATCATAAAGGCAGGATGAGGATCAGTTTCAGTGGCCTTTCTGTTTTCCTGAATGATTTCCAGAGAAACAGACCAACAGGATGTTATACACAGTCTGTGTATATATTCTTCCCACCATGTATATATTAAGAAATGTATTAAAAGGAATTAGCTCACACAGGTAACCATCACAATTTCCATTCTTGTCTCTTTTAAAGTCCCCTCCCTCATTCGGCCAATAAAATGGCATTTTATTCAAATGTCCTGAGTTATTTAAATTATATACCCCCCAATGGGGGTGAATTTTTATCTAATGGATAGAGAGGGATTGATGGGGTAAGGCAGGAATGGCATATGTAGTTAAAATCAATTCTTGTAATTGCTTTGTGTTAAACCCAACCAATTGGTAACAGTTGACAAGAAGGTGGTCACTATGCAAAGGCATGGCTGTCTGTTCCACCAGGCGGTCGCAGGGCAGAGCAGGGCGCCTTCCTCCCTTCAGTGCCTCCAGGGCCGGTCTGTTCACGCTGCTTCCTGACCAGTGGCCCTGGGCCTCCACAGCATCAGGCCTCTGAGAACTTAGTTTGTAATTTTTCTCCACCTACTCCAAACAGGCTTCATTCCTGTTGGAGAATGACCCCTGACCCTGAACTGGTAGTGTTTGCCTCTCCACCACCCAGCTGCATCCAGTCATCCTGCAGTGCACAGCTCAAATCCATCTTCTC